ATATATATATCCCGCCTTGTCACGCCGAATGTGCAAATATCAATAGTAACAATAGCACGGCAGAAACCTCGTGCAAACACCCGAACATAACTCCCACAATATAATGTGCCAATATCATATCTCATAAATTATACCTCAAGTGCTCAATTATTACAACATATCATAAATTGCACATCAAATGCTCAAATATTACAATTATCACAGATTGCACATCAAGCACTCAAATATCACAACTTGCCACAAAAATCAACAATACCTTATTTTTCACAATAAGGAACCCATGACTCGATCATAATGTGCACAAAAATCTTAACAAAATATCCAGAAATGAACAACTCAACAAAATAATATTTCACATAAAAATCAAGGTGGCAATCACACCAAATCATCATGTAAAAATAATTTCAACAAACAAGGATCTAGGCATGACAAATAGAGAATTTAATAAGTGCCAATAATTTCCCATTTAATACATAAGGGCGTCTAAAGATTTTTAACTAATGTAATTTGCACATATAACCCAAGTACGTACTCGTCACATCGTGTACATAGTTTTCAATTATACAAAATTGCACATAAGACTCAATGCCTAAGGGGTAATTCCCCCACTCGAGGTTAGGCAAGATACTTATCTCTTTTATTTTTGAAGTTATGCCGATATTTCAAATTCGCTTTCTTGCTTGAATTGACCTCCGGACCGCTCAAATCTATCCAAATTAATTGTATAACTTCGTTAAAATTCATCGAAAATAATTCCAGATAATAATACGTCGGCTAAAAAATTTATTCCGAAAAGTCAACGCGAGACCCGCTTCTCGGAACCCGACATAATTTTCATGAAATCCGAAAACTCATTCCGATACGAGTTCACTCATACCAATGTTATCGAATTCCAATAACAACTCGACCTCCAAATCTTAAATTTTTGTTTTTTGGAAGATTTTGTAAAAAACTTGATTTTTTCCTTTTAAATCCGAATTAAACGATGAATATAATCATAGATTCATGAAATATAATTACTTTAGAATATAGAACACTTACCCAAGTCAAAGTCGTGAAGAACTCCTCCAAAATCGCCCAAAAACCGAGCTCCAAAATCTCAAATCGAAAATGGCGAAATGACCATTTTTGGTCCTAAATGTTCTGCCAAGATTTCGCTTCTGCGGATTAATTTCAAGCACCTGCGAGCTCGCTTTTGCGAAAAATTTCTCTCTTCTGCGATGCCCACTGACCACTGACCTCTCGCACTTGCGGAGAAGTTCTGCTTCTGCGGTCTCGCAGGTGCGGGATAATTTTCGCACCTGCGACCACTGCCCAGGCCTGCTCCTTTCGCATTTGCGATTGCGCATCTGCGCTCCATTTCATCGCAGATGCGATGACACCAATGGCAGAGTTCCAATAGTTCCTTCAAGTCCAAAATTTGGTCCGTTTAACCATCCGAAACTCGCCCGAGGCCCCTGGGACCTCAACCAATTATATCAACATGTCCCAAAATACAATACGAACTTAGACGAGGCTTCAAACCACATCAAAAAATGCAAAAATTTTGAATCGCGCATCGAATCAAATTTTGAGTTTTTAAATCTCCCAACTTCTATATTATGCGCCAGAAGGTATCAAATCAATCCAGAATGACTTTAAATTTTGCACACAAGTCATAAATGACGTAATGGAGCTATTCCCATCTCCGGAATCGAAATCTGACCTCGTTATCCAACAATTCACCCTTCGGTAGGATTTTTCCAAAAATCTTCTATTTTCCAACTTTCGCCAAAATGCATCGAATTGGCCTACGGACTTTCAAATCCGAATCCGGACATACGCCGAAGTCTGAAATCACCATACGAATCTATTGATATCATCAAAATTCTATTCCGAGGTCGTTTGCTCAAAAGTCAACTTCTGTCAACTATTTCCATTTAAGCTTCAAAATGAGATTTTTTCTTTAAATTAAATTCTGAATCTTCCGAAAACCAAACTCGACCACACATGCGGGTCACAATACATATTGCGAAGCTTCTCGAGACTTTAAGTCACTGAACATGGTATAATTTCTTAAAAGGACAAGTCGGGTCGTTACATTCTCCACCTCTTAAACAAACGTTCGTCCTCAAACGTTCTAAGAATTATTCTGAGGTTACCAAATTGATGATTTTACTTTTACACATATACTCACGGTTGATTCCACACTACTGCATTTGAGATAAGCATGACAACATCATCTCATTTGAGTTTATTTCTTTTATCCATATTTGTAAACTTTAAGATTAATTTCTTACACTCCAAACATTTCAAAAGGTCTAATTTTCACAACAACGCACGGTATTAGTCTCAACTGGCTATAGCAACTCATGCCTATGCACACATCAATTTTCTTGATAGTGTTGAAGTACTTCAAAAAAATTCTGGGGTGTTACACTCTCCCCCGCTTAAGATCATTCGCCCTCAAACACATAACATAACTTATCTCTTCCTTTGCAAATCTCAATCCTTCAAATTTTACTAACTCCCAAATTTTTCAAAAGTTTCGGCAGAGTCTCCCCTGTAATTGGGCCTATCCACCTACCAGAGTAACACCAAAACAACTCCTAACAATACATTCACAACCCAACATAATACCACAAGGTATATATCAATAACACCAATCTCAGCATTACAAGCACTGCATTATCATAATGATATCAGGACATGAAGCACATCATATGTATGCTCATCACCACATCTCTGGTCTTAAAAGTTATTCATAATTAATTCCACCATCATCAATTAATCTCATATTAACCGCCACCTCATTTCGAATTTTCACAACACTTACAACAGAATGTGAGGCATGAAGACCTCATGATTGCTTACTCGGATTAATGAGTCACATTTAGCGCCACCTGGGTACTCATCTCATAGGTGAAAACTCAATGTTTACAGCACCAAAATGGTTGAATATGCACAGAAAAATATACAAGAATTATCAAATAAGCCTAACAGGCATGACTCCCTATTAATACTATTGTACAATTAAATTTCACAAAGGAAAAATTTTAAACTCATAAATATTTCACCACAAGGACCTCGTCCTTACATAACTTCTATCGCGGGCTGCAGCCCGGTTTAAATACTTCACATCATGTAAAAACGCGAGGATCTCGTCCTTAACTCCGAATCACAAGTATGTTGCACATTGTGCCAACTAAAAGTTTCAATAGGTGAGTTCTTTGCAAATGAAAGGGCTCATTTAATCTCAACTATTGGCGAACGATAAAATTATATCAATTCATATAAGTTATGAGCAAATTTGGACCTTTGCCCGTCAAACAATGGCGTTACTGGTCAGGCAAATTCACTTCATAAAATGGATGCGTCTTCAAAATTTGGTGTTGCCAAGTTGGGGTTATAGCTTCCTAATATATTTTCTTTATTTTGTTCCATAATACTAAGTGAATAGTGATTACTTGAAAATTTAATTTATGCTATAATGATCATTGACTAGTTGTAAGTTCACTATAAGTTGGGTTATATTAATAATTTTGTATAAGTAAAATATATGTATCTATCTATGCTTTGCATATTGTGTTTTAAATTGTTGACTTGTTATTTTTATTTGCTAAAAATAAAGGTAAAACATAGAATTTAAGAACTCTATGGAAACCCTTAAGGTAAAGTCTGCTAGATGTTTAATAGTAAGCTATTTAGATTTCTAGATTTAATTAGAACTTAATGTTTAACAGATTAAAGAGAACTTTTGCTAATTATATAATTAAAGTTTATACACATTTTATTAAAACAAAAATAAAAGATAACACGATTTTAATATTAGTAGCACAAGAAGGGAGACTCGATCTTGAGAGAATTGGTAACAAATTATTCCAAAGTGTTTTACAAAACTAAAAAGGAAAAAGATACCATTATAGAAAAAAGGAATACTATCCTTTACTTTCGGGCTTTTACCCGACCCGCTACATCACACGAAGAACGTGCCTTTGTGTATTCCAGTTTTACTTAAGAACATAAACACGCCTCTATAACAGAACACACTTTGCTGCGGACACAGAAGAGAGGATAAAAAATGGCGTCCTTGGGTCACGACGAGCTCCAATCGGCTAACATATTCATACCGGAGGAGTGGTCCGACGCTGCCGATACCATAGCTTATAATTCTACAACTTCGCCGCCGCCGGTTGCGTTTGTCTGCGGTCCCAAAAATAGCGGCAAGACCACTTTCTCTCGTCTCCTCCTCAACGTCCTTCTGCAGAGGTATCTCTTACCCTTTTTCTCAAATATATGAAAGTCCACTGCTAAAGCTTATACTTGAGCAATCAACCTTTTATTTTACTTTGTAAATTTGGTTTTGGACGAGAAGTGGTTGCATACTTATATTGAATTGAATTAATGGACTCGTGCCATGTATTATACATTGCGTATGTGACATTTTTGCATGCTTGAAATTTGGCAATGTACTTGTTTGAGTTGTTCAGTTCTTTTAAACGATGTCCTAATTTTCTGCTTTCTTATTTCATGGTACCTTAAGGTTGCATATAGTCTAAAAAGCAAGCTCAAACCATTTTTAAAACAGAAGACAGCTTTAGCTTTCTCCTTGTAAAGCTATTAATATCTTTTTGGTGACTAGTTAGACTATTTAGTATCAAATATATAGATACTTAGTCGATCTTATCCTGTTATTATTCATCTTAAATATTTTTGGGTTTTGGTACAATTGATTTGCAAAACCAAATCCGATTTAAACTGTGTTTCCCGAAAAACCAAATCCCCGCAATCAAACGGTCCAAAACCAGAATAACATCAAACCAAAAGCCAAATCAAATCGCCACCTACGAACCATTATATATTCCAGTTTAGTACTTTCAGAGAACAGTAATACCCTGGATACTATACAGTCCTATTGTTGATTCGAAAGCATCATGCCCTATCACTTTTCCTCTGCATATTGATATTTGTGATGATCACATTTTATGTTATTACTGCTCGCTGTCCTTGAGAGGCTCTGTGTGATTATTGTCTGAATCGAACAATTATGAACAACCACTCTACCTTTGCATATACTTGTGGATGATCACATTTTCTATTGTTATTATTGGCTGTTTGTGAGAGGCTCTGTATCCTTTATATCTGAATTAGATAATTATAGCCTGTTGATCCCAAAATTTCTTTGACTATATATGTACATATTTGATCATAAATTATCTTTGGATTTCAGATACAAGAAAGTGGCTTATTTGGATACGGATGTTGGGCAGACAGAGTTTACTCCACCTGGTTTGTTATCCCTTACTACAATTGACAAAATAACTTCAGGTACATCTATTATTCCTCAACTGTTACATGTTTGTGTTTGAGCTTTTCAAATGACACTTTTATTCACATTCCTCTCTTTTCTTCTCTTTCTGCATCAGATCTGTCAATTCCGTGCCTAAAGACTCCTGAGAGGTATAATGGTTGAATCCATGTCTTGGAAAAACATAACTTTGTGCCATTAATTCACTTCTGTTGTTACTTGTTTAACTAGAAAAAGACACTTAAATTTGTCTCCTCTTTTCGGTCTCTGTTCTAGGAAGAGTTTAGAACCCTTCTTCCTCTTTCCACTCCCACTCAGTGTTGTGAAGAGCGTGAAGCGAGGAAAAACGACAAGCGAAGCGCTCGCTTTTTTGAAGTGAAGCGGAATTAAAAAAGATATTAAAATAAATACTGCATAGACAACACATGTTAATGTAAGCAAATGTTCAATACTTCAATGTAAAAACTAAAGAGTAGCATCAATAAAAGCACAAAATGAGCATCCTATTCTTCTACAAGATTGTCAAATTCTTGTATTCCACTATCATTATCATCTTCTTCTTCTTCTTCCTCATTAACTAGGGACAAAGTAGCTGCTTCTTTTCCCTTCCTCTGTGAGCTTGAAGTTGAAGTACTCCCCCTCAAACCATAAATCCTCTCCCTAATTTCACGTGCCTCCGCAACATTACCCCAAGTGAAATTAGAAGTTTCCTCAAATACTTCTTCATCTGCATGATCTTTTGGGACTCCAGTTAGCCATTCGTTAGCATCATCGATGTTGTCCAAACTAATTGGATCAATTATATTGCGAGCGTTGTAACGAAGCCTCAATGTTCTATTGTACTTAATGAAGACTAGATCATTGAGACGCTTCAAGGTTAGTTTATTCCTCTTTTTTGGTATGAATCTGCAAATAATAAGTAATCAGTAAGATTAGGACAATTGAGATATAATTTAATTATCTCAATATACTAAATCTTTCTTCTTAGTTCTTACATGTTCAAACACGCTCCAATTTCTTTCACACCCGGATTGGCTACAAGTTAGACTTAGAACTTTGATGGCAAACTTTTGTAGTTCTGGAGTGGAATGGCCATATTGCTTCCACCATTCAACTGTAGAAGTACAACAAATATTCAAAACATAATATTTATAAAGAAATGACTTATTAACTATAAAGCAATATATAAGCACTCGCTCACCTGGTGACTTCGTCTTTCTTTGTCTAATAGCCATGTTTTTTCCAAAAAGTTGCTCAACATTCCTCTAAGTACTAAATTGCTCTGTTATTTTATTTTGCTCGGATTCTTCGGGTATCAACTTCTCAATACCTTCAATGTATCTATTCCACAATTCTGCATCTTCTATAATCCTCTCTTCATTGTCATAAAACAATTCCGGGTTCAAAACAAGTCCAGCTGCATGCATTGGTGGTCTTTGCTCCTCATCCACCAAACGAAGCACTTTAACTAAAGGACCACCCAGTGTTATAAATAGTGCTCGCCTCAGCGCTAATAGCGTGAGGCGAGGCGAGGCAGTGTCGCCACTTTCCCTCTGTTGCGTTGCGTTTCAAAATAGCGCTCGCGACAGTGTCGCGAGATGCGACTGTAGCATCGCTTATTTAAACTTGTTCTTCTCTTCTTCTTTCTATTTATTTCCTCTGTTTTTTGTCGAGATCCTCTTTCTTCTTCTCTTCATTTTTTTTTTGGATCTATTTTGGCAAAATAACTGAGGCTCTGTTTCGAGCAAAAATAACAGAGGCAGAGGCAGAGCAGACTGCAGAGGCAGTAGCTCATTCTGTTTTGTTTGCCCTGTTTTTTCAATTATTGACTTATAGTCTTATAGAGTAGAATTAATTGCATATTGACTTGATAATTTTTTTCTATAAAACAACGTTGAAATGACGTCATCCGATAGTAATAAACGAAATGATATAACTTGGAATTATGCTATACAAGGCTCATCAAGATCCGTAATTAAATGTGTGTTTTGTGAAAAAACATATCATGGTGGAATAACTCGTCACAAGCAACATTTGATAGGTGGATTTAAAAATGTAATACAATGTCCTCTTTGTCCGCCCGAGGTTAGGGAGGAAGTAAAAGCATTTGTTGATAAGAAAAATGTGACAAGAACTCAAATGAATTATGAAGCATCGATGAATCTAATTGATGAAGATGGTGAAATGGGACCTCCACCCCCCAAAACTCATAAGATATCTTCAAATAGTTCTAGTGGGTCATCCACGACGGCACGTACGGTGACAAAAGGTCCTCTCAATCTTTATTTCTCGGCAAAACAACAAGAAAAGGGAAAAGGTGATTCTGGTTCAGGTTTAGAAGCCAAGAAGATTTTGAGGGATCGCGCCGTAAGTGCCTTTGCAGCATGGATGTATGATGCATGGCTTCCTTTCAACTGTGTTAACTACAAAACTTTTGATAAATTCATTGAGGCCGTAGGACAATATGGCCCAGGAATGAAGCCTCCTAGCTATCATGAAGTTAGAGTAACTCATCTTAAAAAAGAGGTGAAGAAGATAGACCAAATTATTGAGGAGCATAAAGTGGAATGGAACAAGTTTGGATGTTCCATTATGATGGATAAATGGACAGCACGGAATGGAAAAATGATCATAAATGTGTTGGTGAACTCTCCAAGAGGGAGTGTTTTTCTTGAATCTCACGATGCTAGCAACTCTTCTACGGATGGAAGCAAAATGTACAGCTTGTTTAGAAAGACTATTGATAAAATTGGAAAGGAAAATATTGTACAAATTGTTACCGATAATGCTAGTGAGAATGTTAGTGCGGGTAAGATGATGGAAGCTATGTATCCACACATTTATTGGACTCCATATGCTACCCATTGTATCAACTTAATGTTTGGTGACATATTCAAGGAAAACCCATATGCTTCAGGTAGCTTTAATATAGTTATCTTTAAAGCTTTAACTCTATTTATACTTATTATGTCCTATCCTATTAAGTATTAAGTATTAACTATAAAATTGTTATTTTTACTTTTACAGTTTTCACTAAGGCTGTCAAGGTATATTCTTACCTCAGTCAGAGGCCGTTGTTGTTGAATTTGATGAGGAAATTCACAAATGAAAGAAATTTGGTGAGACCGGCCAAGACTAGATTTGCAACGGCTTTCTTAACTTTGCATAGTTTTTACTTGCAAAAGAAAAACTTGAGAAAGCTAGTTTTTTCAAATGAATGGAAAGATAATAGATATGCAAAGGAAGCTGCGGGGAAAGAAACTGCCAAAGTTCTTATTTCTCCATTATTCTGGAATGACGTCGTTTGGGCTCTTAAAGTTGGTGGTCCTTTGATTAGGGTGCTTTGTATGGTGGATGGGGAGAGAAAACCGCCAATGGGCTATCTTTATGAAGCTATAGATAGAGCCAAAGAGACTATTGCAGTGTCATTTGAGGGAGATGTTAGGAAATATGAGAAAGTTTTTGATATTATTGATAGCAGGTGGTCGAATCAACTCCATCGTCCTTTGCATGCAGCAGGCCATCTTCTGAACCCGGGATTATTTTACAATAACACTAGAGATGAAACTTTGGATTCAGAGGTGTGGATTGGATACCATGAGTGTCTTGAGAAGTTGATCCCCGATTCAGCGACGGTAGATCAAATAGGGGAGGAGTTTGGTAGGTACTCACAAGCAGAGGGCCTATTTGGTTTACAGGCGGCCATTAGAGCCAGAGACATAAGGTCGCCAGGTAACTAACTTTAATATAGATATCCTTATAACTTTAATTTAATTTATTTGATTTATACTTATTAACTTTTAAAATATTTTTCTATAGTTGAATGGTGGATGCAATTTAGACATCAAACTCCAAATTTACAAAAGTTTGCCATTAAAGTACTAAGCCTAACTTGTAGTGCATCTGGATGCGAGAGAAATTGAAGTGTATTTGAGGATGTAAGAAGCAGATTTATTATATTAATATATTCTATATTGTATTATTATTAGTATCTATTAATTAATCTAAATAATTTATTCGCAGATTCACTCCAAGAAAAGGAATAGGCTTGAGCTATCGCGTCTCAATGATCTAGTGTATATTAAATACAATAGAACATTGAGGCGACGTTATGAAGCTCGCGATACCATTGATCCAATTTTGTTGGATAACATTGACGAGGCAAATGAATGGTTAACTGGAGCCCCCCAACATCATGAAGATGAACAAGTGTATGTAGGAGATGATCTTGATTGGGGTACTGTTTCTATGGCGGTTGGAGTTGAGGAGAATATCTATGGTCTTAGAGGGAGTTGTTCAAGTTCAAATTACAAGGGAAAAGGAGTAGCAAGTTCAAGCCGGTCCCTAATTAATGAAGACTCCGAGGATGAAGAAGATGAAGAAGATGATAGCCAATATAATGCTAACATTCATGAAGTTCTAGAATTTGAAAATCTT